TTACCCTAGTAATGGAACTGGAGTCTGGACCAAGCATTTCAGCTACTGGTGTTACCACAACACCTGGCCCAGAATGGATTAGAAATTGAAAGGGAAGGATTGAAGAATTAGGGCCATCCTCTTTCAGTGGTAAATCCTGCAGGATTTCAGGAAAGATGGGAACAAATGGCATTTACTCCGAAGTCTGAAACAAGTTCAGTCTTTGCAGCTGATCAGGATTTTGATTCTAGCAACCCAGTGGTCGCCAAGTTGTTGTAATTTTCTCACACAGATCCAGATTTGGGGCTCAGCCTAGTTCTGTAAGGGCTCAAATTTCAGCCATTTCAGCTTCATCAAGGAATATGAGCGTGTGAGCTTCCAGGGGAGCGTTTCAGGAGGTTGGTACTGAGATTTTGCCCTGAAAAGGAAAAACATTTCCCCTGTGGGATTTTATTCTGGCACTGGATTTCCTTGCCAGGTCTCTGTTTGCACCAATAGAAAGGAGTCTTCAGTAGAACCTCACTCGAAGCAGTGTCCCTTGATAACTTCAAGGGGCAGAGTTTTGTACCTCCAAGCGCTTCAAGCTACTACATCTTCTTTCTTCTGAACAAGTTTGGGCCTATGCCCCTCGAGTACCTTTTGTCCCCAGGTGGCTTCATTTTTCATCTTACAAACTGGTGATTCCATCCTTTCTGGCACAGATGGTACCTAACCTACACAAGCTGGATGTACCAGGTATCTAAGATGCCTACCTTCAAGCTGATTCCTAGTTTAAATCCTCTGGGAGGCTGTTCGTGTTTCCAACACGCAAATTCAGAGAAGGAAGCTGCAGTAAACCTTGTCATCTTGGAGTATCAAGGGCATCCTGAAAACATAGTGCAGCAGGCAAGGGCCTCCAGAAGTGATAGAGGCTTATTCATCCAGGTCCATCTCTACATTTGGGGCAGCACATGTCTATGAAGACTTTTGCAAAGCAGCAGACTAGTTACCCCAGTGCACCTGCCTCGGGCACTACAGGGAAGATCCAGTGGTTTATACGTCAATGGACTTCAACAGAATGGTAGTCTAGGCTTCCATGTCGATTATAATGCAGTTTGATTATACAGTTTAGCCCTCCCTGTTTAGCTAATTATTTATCACATGTATGATGCCATGTTGGTGTCAGGAAACTGAAAATTGTATCATACTTACCGTAATTTTCCTTTCTTGACATCAATCCATGGCAGTATACGAACCCTCCCTTGTTTGATCTTGATTGTACGGAGAATGGGGGAGGTTACTCTCAGTCAGACACACACACACACACACATATATATATATATATATATATATATATATATACAGTATGTGTACAGGTCCTGTGAGTGGATATAGGGGCGGGGATATATCACATGTATGCTGCCATGGATTGACGTTGGGATAGGAAAATTACGGTAAGTATGATGCAATTTTCCGTTATTTGATCCCCTGCAGATTTTATAAGTTTGCCCACTTACAAGGAAATGAAGGCTCTATAATTTTTATCATAGGTGCATTTTAAATGATAGAGACAGAATATCAACCAAAAATCCAGAAAAAAACACATGACACAAATGTTATAATCTGAGTTGTAGTTCAGTGAGAAAAATAAGTATTTGATCCCCAAGCAAACATGACTTAGTACTTGGTGGAGAAACCCTTGTTGGCAAGCACAGAGATAAGACATTTCTTATAGTTGGTAACCAGGTTTGCACACATCTCAGGAGAGATTTTGGTCCACTCTTTACAGATCTTCTCTAAAGGTTTCATGGCTGTCGCTTGGCAGTTCAAAGTTTCAGTTCCCTCCAAAAATATTCTATAGGAATAAGATCTTGAGACCCACTCCTTTGTTGCCTTGGCAGTATGTTTTGGGTTATTGTCATGCTGGAAGACCCATCCACAACCCATCTTCAGTGTTTTGGCTGAGGGAAGAAGGTTCTCATCCAAGATTTTACAATACATGGCCCTGTCCATTGACCACTCAATGCAGCAAAGTCAGCCTGTCCCTTTACCAGAGAAACAACCCCAAAGCATAATGTTTCCACCTCTGTGCTTGACTGTATGTATTGTGTTCTTATGTCATAGTCAGCATTTTTTGTCCTCTAAACACGGTGAGTCGAGTTAATACCAAACAGCTCAATTTTGGTCTCATCTGACCACAGCAATTTCTCCCAGTCCTTCTCTGAATCATTTAGATGTTCATTGGAAAACTTCAGACAGGCCAGTATATGTGCCTTCTTGAGAAGGGGGACCTTGTGGGCGCTGAAGGATTTCAATCCATGGCAGCGTATTGTGTTATCAATGGTTTGTTTGGTGACTGTGGTCCCAACTGCCTTGAGATCATTCACAAGCTCCTCCTGTGTAGTTCTGGGCTGGTCCCTCACTTTTCTCATGATCATCTTTACCCCATGAGGCGAAATCCTGCATGGAGCTCCAGACCGAGGGCGATTGATGGTTAGATTGTATTTCTTCAATTTGCGACTAGTCACTCCAACAGTTGTCTCCTTCTCACCAAGCTTCTTGCTGATGGTTTTGTAGCCCATTCCAGCCTTGTACAGGACTACACTCTTGTCCCTGATGTCCTTTGACAGCTCTTTGGTCTTGCCCATGATGGTGATGAGGTTTCAAGGGAAGAGATTCTGTGGACAGGTGTCTTTTATACACAAAATGAGTTGTCATTAGGAGCACCTTCTTAAACTGACAGGACTAATCTGTGTACCACATGAACACATAGCCAGTCTGTGGGAGCTAGAATTATTGTTGCTTGGTAGAGGATCAAATACTTATTTTACTCACTGAACGGCAACTCCGTTTATAACAGTTGTATCATGTGTTTTTTTTCTGGATTTTTGGTTGATATTCTGTCTCTATCATTTAAAATACACCTATGATAAACATTATAGACCCTTCATTTCTTTGTAAGTGGCAAACTTGCAAAATCTGCAGATCAAATAATAACTTTCCCCACTGTGTGGCTTCATTCATATGGGTGCTGTGGCCCCATGGCACAGTGTAAACTTTGTTTACACCTTGTTTTTGCAGCTAGGGCCACCTGGAGCTGTGTGCAGGAAGTCTGTTTCTCCATGGGGATGCAGCAGCTGTACAGACACAGACGCTTGTTCTAATGTGACAGACAGGGTAGGGTGAGCATTCAGGGCCACTCATCAGCCCGCTACACACATGTCCATACAGCCACAGCCTCCCCAAAGAGAAACATAGACTGCCTGCATATACAGTAGCTCCAAGTGGTTTTAGCCACATACACAAGGTGCTCATTCTTGCTGTATGAGCCACAGTATCTGTTTGAATGGGCCCTATGTGTTTGTGTACAGGTTAAAAGATTAAGTATTTGAATATCAATATAAAAGCTAAATAACATTCACAAGTACTGTATGCATCTATTTATGTAAAGAGACTATAATAGTTGGTGTTGTATTTAACTTTGCTCTGCAGCCCATTAGTCTGTTATTGGCCATTTTAGGCTAAATGAGGCCTAAAATGAACAGTTGCCAGTTTTTCTACGGGACTACTGTGTGCAGAGTAATGCCAGAATAATAAAAGACCCCTATTTTTAAGTCTAATTACTTCCTAAAACTTAATATGCTTCTGAAAGTTACTAAAACCTGTTGTATATGAAATAACAAGGCCTCTTGCACACGAACGTAATAATTTACTGTTGTTTATGTGCATGATTTTACTAGCAGAAAGATCCTAAGTAAAAAACACAAGTTATGTTCGGTAAAGACTTTGTGTATGCGCACATATGCAAGTAAATTACTGCACTCAAAAGTAACATTTCTAATATTTTTTTAATGACTCTGAATGCATTGCTGCATTATGGATGCATCTGTATGCAGTTGTGTCCTGTGTCTCATAGGCAACAATGCACCAGTGTTAAAATCTGTAAAAAGAAAAAAAAAAACTACATGGCTACAAACGCAGCTTTTTTTTTTTTTTGGCTCGTGTGCAAGAGGCCTTATTTGTATTCTTCAGCTCCATGCACACTGGGTGTTTTAATAATGCTGGTAGCGTTAGCTGTGTAAAGTCACGTTAAAAACGCAAGTTCTTTAGCATTTTTGCATTAGCAATTACTTGAGCTTAGTTTTTCCACGTTTGCAGTTTTTTAGCATTTTTTACACACAAAAAAATAAACTTTTTGCTCAAAAACGCCGGTTTGCCGCATTTACTGTGTTTTACCGCATTTTTCCATGTTTACTAGCATTAGAGCATTTTTACAGCTAAACAACTCCTAGTTCTATGGGGCTTTTTTACAGCCAAAAAAATGCCCCTGCCAAAAAACGCTGATTAAAGCCTATGTGTGCATGGACACCTAGGATAACATGTTGGGGAGTTTAATGGCTGTAGAAAAAAATGCCAAAAGCCAAAAACATCCAGTGTGCATGATGACTTAAAGCAAAGTTCCGGACTCCCCCCCCCCCCAAAAAAAAAATGAAAACAATCAGCAGCTATAAATACTGTAGCTGCTGACTTTTAATATAAGGACACTTACCTGTCTTGGGATCCAGCGATGCCCTCACCTGAGCTGACTCTTCAATTGGCTCCAGGTGCAGGTTCCGGCATCTTCAGTAAGGGAAACCAGAAGTGAAGCCTTATGGCTTCACAGCCAGTCTCCTACTGTGCATGCTCGAAGCTTTGTGAATGGTCTCGCGGTCTTATGGGACCTGTGAAGTGTCCCAGAAGACTGCGGGGGAAGGAGGGGGCTGAACTTCAGATCACCACTGCACATCTGAACAGAAGAGGGAGCAGGTACCTGTCGAAATCAGGTACCCCCCAAAAAGTGCCAAACGTGGTAGTGGAGGGGGGGGATGTAAAAAAATGGAACTTCGCCTTTTGGGTGAAGTTCCACTTTAACTGCCTCCCGCCCGCCATATAAGGTAATGACTGGCGCAAGGCGGTTCTCTCGTTCTGAGAGGACATCATATGATGTCCTCCCATTCTAACCACGCATGCGCGGCTCCGGGAGTGCGCATCATGGTGATCGGTGGTGTGCTGTGTCCCTCGGACACAGAGGATCACCGATCAACGCAAAGAGCCGAAGATGTTGGCTCGGTCATGTGATCAGCTGTGTCCAATCACAGCTGATCGCATGTAAATAGGGAAATGCCAGTTATCGACATTTCTCTCCTCACGAGCTGTCACGCTGACAGCTCGAGAGAAGAGCCGGTAATCAGCCTTCCTCAGAGGGGACATGTACACTGATCATCAGGGCACTGATGATCAGTGTGCCCTGATGATCTGTGTAGCACCAGCAGTGCCACCTGTCAGTGTCCATCAGTGCCAGTTGTCAGTGCTCATCAATGCAACCTGCCAGTGCCCATCAGTGCCACATCAATGCCACATATCAGTGCCTACCAGTGCACATCAATGCCACATATCAGTGCCCATCTGAGCTGCCTTTCAGTGACACCTGTCAGTGCCACCTATCAATGCCAGTCAGTGCCATCTATCAGTGCTGCCAATCAGTGCCACCTATCAGTGCCGCCTATCAGTGCCCGTCAGTGCTGCCTTTCAGTGCTGCATATCAGTGCCCATCTAAACTGCCTTTCAGTGTCACCTACCAGTGCCAGTCAGTGGCACCTATCAATGCCAATCAGTGCCGCCTATCAGTGCCTGTCAGTGCTGCCATCAGTGCCACCAAACAGTGCCAGTCAATGCCACATATCAGTGCCAGTCAGTGCTGCTTATCAGCTCCACCTATCAGTGCCGCCTATCAGTGCCATATGTGAGTGCTGCCTTTCAGTGCCCATCAGTGATCCCTGTCAATGCCCATCAGTGCCACCTACCAGTGCCTCCTCATCAGTGCCCATCAGTGCCACCTATCAGTGTCCATCAGTGCAGCATATCAGTGCCCATCACTGCAGCCTCATTAGCGCACATCAGTGAAGGAGAAAAAAAAATCACTTATTTACAACATTTTATGACAAAAACTAAGAAAAAAACTTTTTTTTTCAAAATTTTCATTGGTTTTTGGTTTGTTTAAGAAAAAATAAAAAACCCAGAGGTGATTAAATACCACCAAAAGAAAGATCTATCTGTCTCAAAAAATGATAAAAGTTTCATATGTTTACAGTGCTGCATGACTGCGCAATTGTCATTCAAAGTGTGACAGCACTGAAAGCTGACAATTGGCCTGGATAGGAAGGAGGTATAAGTGCCCGATAGGCTAGCGGTTAAAGTGAGTCTTTCCTGAGAGAAGTATTGGGTATGCCTTTGATGTCCTTCACCTTGCTTTAATACTTTGATTTATTGACCTGGAACTAGTAAGTCTGAGTTAATTGAGAAGTGTGTATTTGTTATTCGTGACCCAAACCTTTGACATGAAAGGGGCAGTAGGACAGCCAGGCAACGAACATTTGCAGAAACTCAGAAATAACAGCCTCCATGTTTCTCTCTTATATTAATACTGTTGCTTTCATAAACAGCAGAAAATACAATTTATATATAGGCATTAAAGCAATACAAAGCTCCTATTTACCACACTTTTCTAAGATGTCACTGTGGCAGAGACTACGTCATTAAGAAATACTTCTATATTGAAGGTAAAGTACCTGCTGATAAGCAGGGCCAGGTCTAGGCGATGCTGGAGTAGGCTGCCCTAGATTTTAGTCATGCCCCCCCCCCAGGGTCAGTAATGTTGGTATCAGAAAGTGAAGGGGCCAGTAGCGCACCAAGCAACACCAGCGATGCCAGGTCTACATGGCTGGCCAATGTCCTGATAAAAAATCAGACAAATGTCATTCCTATAAAGAAAAACTTCAAAAACTGACATGACAAGAAACAAGGGATGAGTCCGACATTTTCTCCTACAAACCCACCGGAGCTATTCTGCCAGGAAGCTGTCACTGTGCACTGCCATTTATAAGCAGCTGAGACATTCCCCACCCTGCAGCCACATCTATACACACCCCTTGTACATGTACTGATGCACTGCAAGGATTGCATTGGCCCCTTATGATTGGTGGTGCGCACTGACAGCTTCCGAACGAAATAGCTCAGGCTGGTTCTCGCTAGAACACGTCTGAGCTCATCCCTGTTAGAAACATAAGCCACGCAACTGAAGATAGTGAAGAGCACGACTTCTAATAGAACTCCAATGAAATAACCATACAATTGCATAAATATATCCTTTTTTTTTTAATTTTCATGCATAAAAAAACACAAAAATCACAAATCAACATTACAAGATTTAAAACATCTGAAATATTTTCCCTGCAGGGCATGCATCTGTGGCTTCTTGTATCAGCTTCATTCAACATAGGAAAGACCTTTAAATGATGTATTCATTTATATTTACTTTTTTCTAATTCAGATATTGCAGAGTAGCATGCTGTAGTATGCCCTAACAATGAACCGTGTTAACAATTGGGTGCATAAATCTGTGCTCTCCCTGTGTAATCTGCAGGATTGGGTTGTCAGTATGAGTGCACAGCCCTGCTTTTCAAATTACAGTTATTTTGTCAAATGTGTTAAAAAAGAGGCTTATTCACCATTAGTTATCCCTAATTAGTTTTTTTTTTTCCTCACCTGCATTCATTTTTTGAGGGTTTTTTTTTTGTATCACTGTATTAAAAAGTGCTCTGTACCAAATATATAGTTCATAAACACAAATGTTTTGCCTTTCATTTCTCTTTTAAACTGAGCATGTTGTTTTATAAGGTAAAAGTTCACCTATACTTTAACTGCTTCCCCGCCACCCTATAGTAGAACTACTGCAACAGGGCGGAAGGGCTGCACCAGGGGCGGACTAACAACTCATGGGGCCCCCGGGAAATAGGGGATCATGGGGCCCCTGTGTCCTTGCCCAAACTCAAAAAAGCCTATGAAAAAGGTACCAGGGGCATCTCATGGGGCCCCCTACTGACCCCAGGCCCTCGGGCAGTGCCCGAGTTTCCAAATGGTCAGTCCGCCCCTGGGCTGCACAAAAGTGTGTGTGTGTGATTTTTCATTTCCAGGTAGGAGGCACATGCACGACGCCCTACCCACGCCGCCATTGGTGGCTACAGATGTCGATCACCAGGTCCCGGCCGGAGATTCCTCACCGGTACTGGCAATCGCTGAGGAACAGTGACAGGGGAGAGACCTGTGTGTAAGCACAGGTCTCTCTTCTGCCAGCAGTAGCATGCTGCTCTGTACTTCTCTGTACAGCAGAGAAATACACAGTAAAACACACACAGCACACAATTAACCCTTTGATCACCAAAGATGTTAACCCCTTCCTGCCCAGTGTCATTAGTACAGTGTCAGTGCTATTTATTAGCATCGATCACTGTATTAGTGTCATTGGGATGTCAGTGGTAATTAGTCAGTTCCCTCCCAGTGTTAGAATGCCAGCCGCAGTCCCGCTAAAAGTCGCTGATTGCCGCCATCACTAGTATTAAAAAAAAAACCTCCTGTATATATACTGTCGTTTGTAGACGCTTTCACGCAATTAATTTACAAGTATTGGGATTTTTGTTTAGCAGACATGTAGCAGAATATATCTTGGCCTAAATTTATGATGAAATTTGATTTTTAAATTTATATATATATATATATATATATATATATATATATATATATATATATATAAATGTTTTATAACAAAAAGTCAAAAATATTTTTTTTTTTTTTCAAAAGTGTTGCTCTTTTTTTTGTTTATAGCACAAAAAATAAAAACCGCACAGGCAATCAAATACCACAGAAAGAAAGCTCTGTTTGTGGGAAAAGGACATACAGTACATTTCATTTGAGTGTAGCATTGCATGACTGTGCAATTGTCAGTTAAAATAACGCAGCACCATATCTCAAAAAAAGGCCTGGTCAGGAACTGGGGTAAATCCTCTGGAGGGCAAGTGGTTAAAGAGTTGGCTGCCCTAGACTAGTGCTTAAGCATTTAGGGTAAAATAGAAATTAAAGCTGAACTCTAGCCAAAGCTCAAAGTATATATCAGCAGAGTACAGACTAGGATGACTATCAGTAGGACAGGAAGTGAGAGGTAATCTCTACAGTGAGGACAAAAGCAGAAATAAAAGCCTGGCAGGAGTTCTAACCCATTCACACTCTGCTCAAAATTAAATTAAAAATAGGTCGGAGCATGGCTTTAAAGTAGCAGTCTTATCATATACTGTACCTGGTAGCAGAGTCTAATATGATGGGGAAGGCCTCTCTTACACCTCTGACTCAGGGCCTCTTGTGGTGTAAACAGAAGGAAGGAGTGTAGACTGGCACAAGTGCCTGTAAGTCTTGCTAGCAGCAGAGGAAGTGTCCACACTGGGCAGGTGAAGTCGTCAGGGGCCTTCTGTAAGGCAGGCAGCTGGACAGCAAACTGAAGAAGACTGTGTAACAGAACCGACCCAGACTGCGCTTGAGTACTTCCGTTAGACTACCGCTTCCCCGTCCGAACACTGACAACAGACACCACAGCCGACCATACAAGACTAGATGACTTTATTTGAACACAGATACAAGATATATACACTCAGGGGACAATCCCCCTTCCCTGCATAATGACACAGGGCGGGGCAATCTACATTTATTAACAAAAGACACACAGGTATTCAAACTTCACACCAGCAGACAGTCCCATCAGGAGGGAGGGCTGCTGGAGACACTCCCCCACTAAGCTAATACACATAAACACATATATCCCATAATAGTTTGCTCCCAAGCCAGACAAACAATAGAACAATGGGATGCAGCCACATAACATTAAACAATCAACAACCCCCACCCCACCTATCTCCTAAACATGTCTACACAGTCTGAGACCACACAATATTAGGACAGATCACCCTGTACCCCTAACAGGCACAGGGTGATTTACACATAAGAGGGATATGGGGAGCTGAAACAGAGGTCTCCCCACCTCTCCAAAGTGAGCTTAGTTCCATGGGCCCCCCACCCAAAGTGACTCCCGTCACAGACTGGTACTGGTGACAGCAGGCAGATGAGACGATGGCTGGTAGCAGGCTGTAGATTGGCAGGAACAGCAGGGTGGTAGGCAGGTACCAGTGGCAGCAGGAAAAGTAGCAGGGTCAGACAGGCAGGACAGGGGCAGAAGCATGACAAGGCACAGGCAGAAGCGTGGTCTAGATTCAAGCCGGGTCTATAAATGGATCAGTGAAGCATGAAGCCAATGGTACAGCCAGAAGCATAGATCAGAGGACAAGCTGAGGTCAGTGCAGGCACAGTTCAGGGGGTAGTCAGGACAATCTTGGTCAGCAACTGGAATCAGTATACAGGATCACAGGAACACAGGATACATAGGAGGCTGAAGACAAAGCAGCACTGATCCTGAGCACTAGCCCAGTTTAAATAGCCCATTTACCATCATCTTCTGTCACAAGTGCACATGCACACCTGTGCACACAAGTATGCGCACAGGTATGAGCACCAATGCGTGTGCATATGTGCATGAGCATATGCCCAATTTTTGCAGGCATAAGAGGGAACAAGTATTAGCCTGTGCACAGAAGTCTGTCCAGAAGTGCCATCTTGTTTATTGGCATGCCCTTCCTGACATGTCCAGTCAAATACTAACTAAGCTTAAACCTACTCCCACCCCTTCTAAGCTCTATACTAACTACCATACAAAGGAAAGATGTCTATACTTACCT